AACTTGTAGAGCTTTCTATATCTGTTTCCTGCCAATACTGGCTGTCTGGATTTGCATGTGAGTCTCCAAGTTTTGTTTTAATGAAACTTAGAACACACATAATTGGCTCACATTTTTTCTGCCAAACCATGAGCAATCTGAATCATTCTGCTGGAATATTTGGGATACAGTGTTTTACGGTCAAAACAAAACTTTCTGTTTTATGTAACTCTGCATTCCATTTTGCAGTTTTGGCTTAAAAAGAACTTGCTTGTGAAATTCCCCACCCACCCACAAGTCTACATGGTTACCCAGCTGCCCCTTCTGTTTCAGGGTAGGTATTACCTGCTTCCAGGCATTTGGCAAGAAATTCAAATGTTTTGTCTTTCTAGGGCCAAGCTTAAGTCTTTATAGAAAGATTAAAAAAAAACATAGCTGAATAGACTAAGCAGTATCAGCAGACTCATCTTGATTGGTGACAGTCAATATTAAGTATCTTATTGAGAAATTCTGGTGGGGGGGGTCTGCCAATGAAGCTTATATTCCCCACCCCCAGTGTTGTTGAACTAATATAATAATGTCACATCTGATTATTAGAAATGTTTGGTTGCAGATGGTTTCCTGGACCCAAATCTTACACTGGATAGCTGAACTTCAAATGTTGTGATGAGATAAGTGGTGTCAGCCCTGTAGGTAAACCAGAAAATCAACTTCATGGGGAGGCTAAAATTACTTTTATTGTAATTGGTTATAATAACAGAATCTTGCAAGCTGGGCTTTTCTCCTCTTTCTTATACTCCAGTGAATTAGGCTGGCGTTTGCCCGATATACTTATGAATACTATCTCTTTGTTCTGGAATTATAGCATACTTCAAACCTTTTAACTTCCTACACATCTCCATCAGGGTCGTCATCTTTATTCTCTGCAGATAGAGATTGTGATTCCACTGCTCTTATACCTAGGTGGTTCCCAATGCATTGTAATTGAGCACATTCTTTTGATAAAGATTCTCTCTGCTGCAAGTGCATTTTCATTGGAACATTTCAAATCTAATAAATTTAAAAGTGCTGTAAATTAATCCAAGCATAAAGTTTCTCAATGACTGAAAGCAAAACAAGTGATTGAAATTAATGGCACAAATGTTTCAATGGACATTGTTCAGTGGTGCATCATTCGACTTGAAAAAATTCCCAGCCTTTCTGTTCTATAAACATAAGAAATCTGAAAGTTGCTCTGAGGAGGAAACAGGTCTTAATTCAGTATCATCCATCTAAATCTCATTCATACCCTGGTAGCTAAGAGAACTTGAAATCTTAAATAAGAAGTCTTTGTTTGAAAAAGAAAAGACAGTATCATTTGACTGCAGACCTTGTCTTAATGGGATGGATTAATTGTCCCATTAGTTTACAGTCAATACCAATTAGTGTTCAGTCTTTTCCTTCTAGCCTCCAGCTAATTTTAAAACTCCATACTTGTGCATGGCTCATTAGAGTAGATACTGTATCTGTTCTCGAGACATCAATGATTGTCTTTACATGGAGCAAACTATACATACTTGTTCTTCTTGCTTCAGCTGCCTAATGGAAATCAACCCCAGTGTTTCAAGAATCTATATTCAATCAACTTGAATTTGCATATTTATTCAATCCACCTATCAATTCCTTCCCTGAGATAGAAAATGTTGTTTCATGGATTTAAGGCAGCGGCTCCCAAACTCTTCTATACCCCGTACTCCTAGAATGCTTCTGATGTATTCTCACACCCCCTACAAAAATTCAAAATAATGGCAACAAATTATGCATATACACTATAATTTTGAAAACCCAAGTTTTTGCACCCCTTGGAATATCATCTCACACCTCCAGGGGGTGCAAGCACCCCTGGTTGGGAACCCCTGGTTTAAGGTATCACAGGAAGGAAGTTGTTCTAAAAGCTGCCTTTTGCAGTTGTCGGTGATTTTGTCAATGGTGTTCAAGTGGTGCTCCAGTTGTTTTGAGATTGCACTTGAGGCACCTACTAATATTAGTACTATCTTTGCTTTCTTTTGACATAGTTGTTCTATTTGCAGGTCCTTGTATTTTGTGATTTTCTCCAATTCTTTCTCCTATTCTGCACTATTGTTGTTACTATTATAGATGGGGAATTGCCACTTTGAAATAGTTGTAAGTAAACATGCTATGCAAAAGAATACTTCTACTCCAGACTTCTGTCTGCTTCGTGATGTTGTGACAGGTTAGCTCTCTTCTATTTGTGCAGTGAGATGATCAGTGCTGTCTCCAAAACTATTGACAGGGTTGTTGGGATGTTCTTAAAGTTGTTTTTTTTCTACAGTTAGGTTTGGCAACTTGGACCTAGGCAAAATCAAAATTATGGCAAACTTTGTTCTTTTGCAATGGGGAATGTAGTTGTTCATTCATTTACTTTCTTATATGGTTTATAGACCACTCCAGTCAACTGACTGTTAGCAATGTAAAACTCCCCAAATTTATAATTTGGAATTCAAACAGACAGTAATCAAATTTAAAACAAAAACCATACCCTGTAATTTTGTGTACAACATAATGCACAATATAATCCTTTAGGACTGAACAGCAATATAAGTTGGCTGCTTTGTGGAAAGAGACTTTAAATTGCTTGGTTTGCACTTTATTTTTAATTACTGTATCTGCACATTTCTGAAAATATCTTACTTTGAGACAGGGAGGATTAGAAGTTAGCATCCTGGGTGTCTTTTCTAAAAAAAGGTGCTGAGTTGAGTCACAAGGAAAAGCAGGTGCAATACCTCTGCTTCAGCATTTTGTTGGCTTCCTCCCATGCCCTCTCCCCTCCCCCCACCTGAAACAGCAAAAAAAAAATAATCCTCAAAAAAAGACCTATCCCAGCAAACTGTATAAACTTACGGATCCCTTCAACACAAAGATATAAAACAAATGGTTAACAATACTTTTCAATCTGATCAGGGATAAAACATTTTGACATTGACACCAATGATTTTTTTAGATTTGAGGAATGAGTAAGCCATTTAAATCTTTCCAAAGCTTTCTACTAGCAACCCACCAAGGACCAATTGATTTGAGTTAACTCAAATGGTATATACCGTAACTAGGGAGGCAATCATGCAATGGATGGAAAGAAAGGACTGTGGAACAACTTCTTTACCATTATGTCTCTTTGCTTAAATATGCATTCAACTGGATAGAATCTCTCGAATCTGAATAACCTAAGCTGAAATTCATAGCTATCGGGGGGGGGGGGTATAGAAGATGGAACATAATGAATTTACAGAGAAAATCTAGGAATTGTGGTTCCAACATATCTGAAAGATACTAGATTGAGGAAACCTAGGTTAGATTAGATTGGAATCATGTATCACATTTTATCATAATCCATCCAGTCATGACTTATAGGGATGCTGAATTCAGGCACTGATGACAGAAATTAATCTAATCCAGTCATTCCAAACATGGGTTTCTGGGTGTTGGACTAAAATATCTGTCATCGTCCATAGAATGTGATCATCATCCAGCTTAGTAGGTGGTCAAAGCATCTGAGATTTTCAAAATACATCCTTATACTTCAATGTCATTTGCAGTTCTGAGTAATGATTTATTTTGGCAAAGTCACAGTATCACAGTCATGGATTTATTATTGTTTCAACTCTATTCAAGGGCAATTGCAAGGATAATTATCCGTGCATTCTCAGTATATATTTTCCAGAAAAATGGAATTTGGGAGCAAAAAAATAATAATAATCTGGTAACTGTAAGTCATGCTTATTTGAACATGGACATCTTGCTATAACATGGAAAAATAGAAATTGTTCTTTTGAATATCTGTTGAAATATTACTTAAGTCAATCTAAAATTGATTAAAGAAAACAAGCCAACATATATCTTAAACTTGGGGACATAACTGCATCCTAGGATAAACAGAAAGCATACAGGTAGTCTTCAACTTACAAAAATTTGTTTAGTGACTATTGGAAGTTGCAATGGCACTGAAAAAAGAATGACTTATGAATGGTTTTCTCATTACGATCATTGCAGCATCTCCCCATAGTCACAAGATCAAAATTTGGGCACTTGGCAACAGGCATGTATTTATGACAGTTGCACTGTCCTGGGGTCATGTGATCACCATTTATAACTTTCCCAACGAGCAAAGTCAATGGAGGAGCCACATTTGCTTATCAACTGCACAATTCAGTTAGCAACTGCAGTGATCTGCTTAACAATGGAAATGTCCAGGCATTTTCTACCATGCTTCTCCGTGAAATAACAAAATGAGAAAATACACACATAAAAGTTATTTTTACAAATGGGATGGAAATATGGTTCTCGGCATATAGGATGCAATCCTGAGCAGTGAACTCCTGATGAAATCAGTACCTATTGTATGATTCTTACTGCAATAAAGCCAAGAGACAAAGAGTGCACAGACCACTTACAAGAGGGTGGTTAAAAAAAAGTCAGTGGTCATCACCATGAGATCAAATCTCTATCCCTTTTTGTATGTGTTGTATCTACTGAAGAAAGAGGGCCAATGTGCAAACTACTGGTGAACAAAAGAAGGGCACTTCCGCATTAAGGCTTTATCACATTTTGAAACTCCTTGTGGTATCATATGAATATAAGGACTGAATTTGGGAAAGGAGCAGCTCAGTGGCAGTTTGTTTAAAGCTGGTTAAAGTTGGTGTATTGCTTGCCACATTATGTCTCAGTGGAGCTAGCGGGTGCTTTGCTTTTTCATTGACCAGAACTCTGATGTTACCCCTAGGTTCTAGACTGCAGGCAACTCTTCTGTTAGAGCTACAGCATCTTGTTCCTCTCTCCTTCTTTCTCTCCATTCCAACCACTGAGAGAGAACCATCTGGTTATAAAATGCCAAATACTGGTCTTTTACCATTGTGCTATAAGAGCTAGCTATTAATACTTGTAGCCAAACAAATGCATGTACTGAAAGCATGATGAGAAAGAGGGCATCAACAATTTATTTTATTTCGTTTATTCGTGGAGTGGAAGAGAGAGGGAATATTGTTGTTCTGGGCTCTGGAGTAGCTTGCAGCAGAACACTGGCTAAACTCTGCATTCTCCTTTGATCAGATGGAGGCATGCGCTGTCTGGCTAATGATGTTCCGTGCATGTTCTCAGTATTTTGAACTCAGTAGTGGTGAACATGTCTTCAGGACAGTTTTGAATTGTATCAGAACATTTGCATAGTAGGAGCAACATTAGTATGGAAATGGCCTCAAAAGGAAGGTCCAACAGATGTGGGATATGGGCAAGAATTATCCAATGAATAGGGGAGGGACGCCATCTAAAGAAATTTCAGTGTGCTATAAGAAAATAATGAGTGGTGGTGGCATTGTAAACCACATTTTCTAATGTTTATGATTACATCTGTCTTTATTTCACGATTCTTTGGTCTTTAAAAGCCCCCTTTATTTATAAATACCATTTTCTTTCTGTTTTATTGCAAAAACTACTAGCATACTCCTTCCTTCTTAAAATACAAATACTCCCATAGATTTCTGTAGGTATAAACCTTTTAATGGCCCACAAACCTCATGTATAAATATCTTATTTTAATCATAGGCTGCCCTGAAAAATGTTAATATTATATGCAGTTCTAGTGGTACATAACATAACCAGCAGAGTTAATCATGCCTTGTAAGCAAGATTACTCATTCAGATGCCTCCCTGAAAGCAATAACAGAAAAGTCTTTTAATATATGTAAATGTCTATATTCAAGCAACAACAGTAACAAAAGAAGAGATCAAATTGTGCTTACATTATATATTTTCATTTGTGTTAGAAGCATCGTAAATACAGTACTGTATTACTATAGCACTATAATATAATACTGTATTACTATAAATATTGTAACATTGTGCATTTTAGACAACACAAGAGAAAATATTTATAATAACACTTCCTTATACATTTATAGCCCAGAATTATTAATCTGCCCTGAATTCCTCACTGATACCATTTTTTTATTTTTGAAAAATGATAAAAAAGGCAATACTAGGATATAGAATATATTTCAAAATCTTATGCTTCTACAAAATCTCTTTTTTTCTTCTTCTTGTGTTTCCCTTGTAACATTTTTAACCTCAGCCTAGAAAAATTCACCAAGTTGAAACTGATAGGAAAGCAAAGATTATTCTCATATTGTTCTACTTTACCAGTCTGAGACTACTCCCCTATAACTCCTAAAGGATAATTAGTGAAAAAGATTGATTGCAGAAGCCTTATTATACTTGCAAGCGAAATGTTGGGGCCTTCAGCCATACATTTACATTGTTCTAAGCTGCATTAATGTTCATCCCTATTTGACTGAGAAGAGTTCAGGCAGGAGTTAAGAGAGACATATGTGCTCTGAGAGCTCTGTCAAAAATTAAAGATCTTTAACAGAACTTGTAAAAAGCTTATCGTCTATTTATTTGTACCCAGGCATATGTTAACCTAGTGCTAAACTGAATTTAACTTACAAAGAGACAGGCAGTCACTGCAAAATTTCCTCCAGAGTGTGTTCTATCACTGGGGCTTCAGTCAACTGCAGACTCAGGGAATTCTGACCGTGATCGCTCACTGTGGCAGATCGGCTGACTTCCCACAGGGTGTGTTTGACCAACTCTGAGAATGTCACACTAAAGGAGGATGAGAGCTTCTTACTGAGAAGGACATAAAGGATAGGGTTCAGGCTACTATTGATGAAGGCAAAGCCAATAGAAAGAGGTATGGCACTTTCAAGCAAATCATGCAAAGAGGTATTATGATGAGCTGACAGTTCCAGAATGGTAAATATTTGATACGGGGTCCAGCAAATAAAAAAAACCACCACCACCACAAGAATAGTCCAGAAGAGCCTGCTGGAGGTTAGTACTGTAATTTTTTTAACCTGGCTGACTAGAAAGGAATAACAAACAATCATAGTTAAGAGTGGAAAGAGATAGCCACAAATGAACTTTATCCATGTAAGTGTGTGATGTCTGAATACAATAACATCAAAGTCATGGTGAAAGTTGTAATAGCATATGGTGACATTTTGGGGGGATATGAATGTGTCTTTGAAATACAGTGCTGGGCTTCCAAGAACTGTAGCCAAAATCCAAATGAGCAGAATCAGGATACAGGCATTCCTGAGTGTCCGATGCTTATAAGAGAAGGCAGGGTGGATCAGATGGACATAACGATCAAGGCTGATTGCTGTCAGGAAGAAAACACTGGCAAACATGTTGAGCAAGGTCATAAAAGCATTTGCTTTGCACAACCATTTCCCAAAAGGCCAGTGGAAGCCCATGATGACATATGTAATATATAGGGGCAGGAACAAAACAAATATTAAGTCTGCAATTGCCAAGTTGAGGAACCAGATGGATGTAACTGTCTTATTCCATTTGAAGCCCATGATCCAAATAACTATTGCATTGCCAGGTACTCCTAAGAGAAAAGCCACCATCTGTAGCACAAGAGAAGTGATTTGTGTATGACTGAGGTAGGCCTGGGCTGGCTCATCTTCCTCATAATCTTCGAAGTATTCAGTAAAGTTATCTTGGTACAGGAAGTCAGTTGATGACATGACCACACTCTGTCTCCTGCGAACTTGGATCTGGGGCAAAAAGGGATAGAGCAGGTAGTTACAAATATAACAGTGGTATTTTCAAGCAACGTACTGGTATCCATAGGCTCCCAAATGCTGCTCAATTATTCAACTTTGTATGGCAGTTTTCAAATATTGATCTGCATGGTAGATGGACTCTTATTTAAAAGATATGGGAATGCACAGTATCAGAAAACAGCAAGGTATCATTGCACCAATTGTACCCAACATAACAATACAGGGCATAGTTTATTTAGACCACCTCATGCTCATGACTGTATTTAGTGTTTTGTCCAAGGACAATGATGATTACTCGTACCTTGGAAGTGTGAGTCCAATTAAAGAAAGAGCCTACAGTTTTATGCCAATGGCTTCTGCTTATGATTTGAATACTTCTTATCATATTTATTACTATCATTGTATATATTTCCCAGAAACACTTTGTTTTGCATCTTCTTGACACTTCTATAAATGGATGTTATAGTCCACTGTATCTGGGGGAAAAATGAAATGAAAAAACAGGCTGGGAATAGCTGCCACAGAATCTGCCTACCTTTCAGTGCTTTTTCCCTAAGGCTCTCTGTGATGTTGACGGGGTTCACACATCCACTAAATCAGTCATAATGTACTTTATTTGGTCTGACATAACATGATATGTGAATGCAGCTTGTAGTTTCTATTTCTTGATCTGTGGGTTGGTGTGAGATATGAATTCAGCCACTTCTGAGAGATTCGCAAAATATGATTAAGCAAAATACAGTTCTGCGTGTGAAAGTCCATCCTTTCTGTAAAATATGTAGTGTTGTGGTTAAGACATTAGGGTAGAAACTAGGAAAGTCTGAGTTCTAGTCCCACCTTGGGCACAAAGCCAGCTGGATTACCTTGGGCCAGTTATTCTCTCTCAGCCCTAGAAAGGAAGCAATGACAAAGGACTTCTGAAATCCAAGAAAACTGCAGGGACTTGTTCAGGAGTCAAAAAGTCAAAGTCACAAAAAAATGCATATGGAAAAGCAGAACTACACTATTGAAACTCCCTGCACTAAAAATGGCAAATCGGAAAAACACAGCACCTCTCAAGAGGTGGGAAGCTTGGCTGCCTATTGCTTGTCAAAAGTGTTCAAGTCAGTACCTACAGGGTACTATCCTACAAAACCTTACAAGAGAATTCAAAAGTGGTAAAGCATGAAAAACAATGAAATGGTCAGAAAGCAACATAGTTTAAAATAGAAATTCTTTACCATCTGTAAAAATAAAACAATAAATTAAGAAGAGTTGCTTCTTTAGAATATATTACTTGCTGCAATACTTTCCCCTCCACAGAACACTTCTGAAAAAAAGTCAGATAGAAAAATGCTATGAAATGCTAATGGTTGATACTCTATGAACACCATGTCATTAAAACATAAGTTAACTCTTTACAATCTCTTTTTTAAAGGCCATAACCAAATATCACCCTTTCTATACTTCTATGCTTTTCAGGGAAAATAACATTCATTTATTTACTCCCTCTGCAAACTATGCCTCATCTCCTAATCCCTTTTATTCTGATGTATAGCAGTTATGGCCACCTTTACCCAAACAATTTGGTATGCATTTTGACACAGTATGTATGTTTTTAATTGCAAGCCCACAGCATGGAAGAAACAGTTTTCTTAATTTTAAAATCACAGGGCATATGTGAAAACAAAACACACTTTCCATATAAGTACAACCATAACATAAAAGGGAGCTACAGCTTTGTTCATTTTAACACAGTAGCTCCCATCCCTAAAATAATTTGTATACAATGGAAGTTTCTGTTTTTAAATTGTAAGGATCCTCTTCTACTTGTTTAGGTACAACTTTATGCAAACTATCTGGGAAAAACCCTATTCAATTCAGTGATGAAGCTTAAGATCAGTTTTTGAGATGTCATGGATCCCACTGAAAGCATTTAGAGTCATACTACTGAAAATTTCCATATGCCACTCAACCTCATTAAGTTTAATTAACTTCATTGCTAAATAATCAAAACATGCAATGCAGATGTACTTAGAACAGCATGTGCAAGAACAGCTTGCTGAATTGAGAGGAACACTTTGGGGGGCAATTTTGTAAATTATGTTAAAAACATCAATAATAAAACCAGCTTGACATACTTTCATTTTATTCACAGTGGCAAGATTTTAGATATTACTTACAGTACATTGGTCAGTATTATGAATATAGCCTGGCGATAAATGATCCCCACATAGGAGAAACATGTTTTTAGCATATTTGCTATTCAACTCAGATGGTTAAATCATCTGACTTGATTCTGACTTTTAATGCACTGAGAAAAAGTCAAGTCAAATGAATAAATACATTTAACTTTTTTTCTCCCCTTTCTCCTTTTTAACAAATATGCCACAAACAGAATAGTAGGTGATTTTTTAAAAATCAGTGGCTGCCTTTAGGCTGGGCAGAATGCGTTACTGTGTGACTGAACATATAGGAAGGTAGAAAACATAATAAATTAGAATAGCTTCGCCTTTATTACACCAAGTATAAGTTGATCTGGAAAACTGCTTTTGAAGACTTTCAAAATTCTGTCAATTTACCTACCAGCAATTAAAAACATTCCAGAATACCACAGTGCCACAGTGCCAATATTAACTTCAGCTGCAAGCAAAACTTAATTTGAGAAATAGGGTTATCTTTTAAAATGTTCTCTCTTTAATTCATGGAACAGACATTTTTTCTGTAGTGGGGGTGGGGTGAGCTGAAGAGACAGCACTGGGAGATGCCTGGGGAGGAGTCAGTGAGAGGGCAGAGAGGGGTTGGGGCTCGGCTAAGGCCAAGGTGGTGGTGGGGGGATAAGCCTGAGGGAGAAGGTGATAGGGAGGAATGGGAGAGGTTTCTGTGGGGTAAGCCTGAGGAAGAGAAGTGGATAGAAGAGGTTTCTGTGGGGCAAGCCTTGGAGGAGGAGGAGGAGGAGGAGGAGGAGGAGGAGGAGGAGGAGGAGGAGGAAGAAGAAAAAACTGATCAGCCACCTGAATACTTTCTCTGCACGTGACCTGCCTGCTGAGAGAGGCTGGCCACCATCTCATCACATGTCCCAGCCAAGCAGAGGTGCCTAAGTGAGGGACCAATGTGAACTGGCAGCCATACCAAGAGGGCCAGGAGAACCCAGACTACAGTGGCCCTTTAGGGGGTAGTGCTACATTTCCATAGCAATAAACTTACAGGTTTTGTAAATTTGCACAAAAGCAATGCACAAAATAGCCAGGTTGATGTCGATAACACCACTAATCTCCTTTTCCCCAGAACAGGCTTGCCCGGGCACACAGATACGTACAAAACAGGTGAGTTTTTAATAATTTTAAGCGCAAGTAGCACTTTTCTGGTCCATAGGGGGGAAAGGTGCCTTCCTGAAGCAAAAAGAACAAGCAAGACTGACAACCGAATTCCAAACTACTGCAAATCCTCCATCAGTACCACTGAGAAAGTGAGCAAGAGCAAAGGAAAAAGCACACTTGCCAGCTTAGAAGAGAAAAGTGAGGCAGTTCTTGCCTTTATTTAAGTGAAAATGCAGCATCTTAATGAACAAAAATTTCTGAAGATTGTGCTGATCCTGTCTTTGGCTTAACACAGAAATCCAAAATCTCACCAGCAGTGCAACTATGATTTTTTAGTCAAGATTATTTGCATATGATCCCGTTTCATTTCTGTGACCCTCCAAGAACATAAAATGGCTGTGCTTTTGGAAAGCGTGTTCTTGAACATCTCCTCAGTTATACAGATGGAATTAATACAAAATTTATATATAATATACCAGTGCAATCATCTGTGAATCTAGCTTACCTAGCAGGATAGACCCTAAATGCATTACTCTACTATTGTTATCATTCCAAGCTAGCAAGGTCATAGCCAGTGGTGGGATTCAAATATGTGAACAACCGGTTCTCTGTGTGGATGCTGCTTCCGAAAGTCCATTCTGGGCCTGGGCAACAAAAAATTAGCTTCCGGTTCTGCCGAAGTGGTGCGAACTGGCTGAATCCCACCACTGCCTATAGTCATATTGGTGGGATAAATGGGAGTTCAACATATTTAAAGACACCCAAGGATGTCAAAGGCCAACTTTCCCCATTCATCTCCAGTCTTTCTTTCTTTCTTTCTTTCTTTCATCTGTTCCCCTCAGTATTGGCTTCAAGCTTGTATTATCTGCATCTTCTAAACAAATGGAAGATTAAACTTTTTTCTTTCAAATGTTAGCATTAAATTAAAAAATGTTATTTAGCAGAGAGCGGGTATATGGCTTTGTGGTAAAGATAACTTTTGAAAATATTTTCAAAATGTGACATTTTGTCCAGGATACAAGATATATCATGTAATTCTTCCCAAGAGGATGAATTATGCTCAAAACACCAGCACCACCCATATGAGTCATGAAAAAAATTGTAAAAATGAACAAGTCATTTAAACAGCTGCAGTTGGAAACAGTTTTGGGGTCAGAATGAATAAATGTTATTTTCAGTGAAAATAAAGTCAACTGGTCACTTTCAGTAAAAAAAAATACTTGCTTTTCTTAACAAGGAACTCGGTCTTGTTGTCATTTTGTCTATATCTTCAATGTTTTAGCCCCAAGGCATTTGGGGTCACAATCGTACATATATAAATGTATGTATACAAACACAAATATGCACATTATTTTCTCATTTGGTTTCCCTGTATTTTCCTACACATTTCCAAATATCTGATATTTGAGAAGAGCATTTCCATTAGGCACAATCTTATAGATATAAAGCACCATCCTAGGCAGCTGGAGTGCATCCAAATTTTGGATAATGCAAACTGATATGTTTTCTAATGCTGAAGCAAAATTTGGTTCAGGGCTTTTTTGTATTTTAATTTATTTTTCTTTTTAAATTATGTTAATAGTTTAACAAATCATTGCAGACTGGAATATAGAAAATTCTTTCCTCTGTTATTGGATGTATGTATGTATGGACTGACTGATACTTTCTCACATTCCTAAACTGCAAGATAAACTGTCTTTGCTCTTCAGGTCAGGCTAGGATAGGACTGTGTTTGTCTTAACAAGATGTCTGTAGTTTTATCTTCCAATAAGATAGAGAACACTTTAGTGTTGATTGACATCTGGTTTGTCTCTTTGTGGACTCTAAATAACCTTATTACCTTTTTCCTCATTAACATCCTAAATTTTATGCTCACAGGTTCTTTAGCGTTCATTTAAATGAACATGTGTTTAACTTCATGAAACTGATTTTCTATGCAAGGGGGAGAATGCCTTTGTCTTATCCAATCAACTTTTCTTTTTTAATTTCCCTTGATGCCTTAACTATAAAAGAAAATATAAGTTGGATTTTGAGGTTCCCTCTTTGGAAAGGACCCCTTTTATTAGAACATTCTGAATAAATCATAATTAAATGATCTTCTGCCTCGGTTTGCTTCATTGAGGTCTGCGTGTATTGGGGCACGAACCTAATGTATGAGGAACACCACAGTAAATAAACCATCTATATTTCTTTTGAGTATTAAGCAGAGGATCACTTTTAATGGAGGACAATTCATTGTGGTGTTGCTTTTTTGTCCTGGTAAAGTAAGTCTGTGTTTATTCATTGGGCTAAATTATAATTTTTTTATTTACTGTATATTTTAAAAATTGCTAGTGGGATATATGAGCCCTTTATCAGAAATCTACTGATTTAGATTAAACGAATTCTAGCTATAATCCCTAAAGTATTGATATATTCTAGTCACAACTGGCAATCAATTTAAAAGTTAGAAGAAATTCAAGAACTGGCAAACCTTCAAAAATAGCAAGATACTCTCCTGCTTGAAAATTGAGTACTAAAGTAATTGTGTTTGACAAGGAGTACAGAGGGTATGATTGCAAGTCAAATATAAATGGTGACACACTCAGTATGTATCTAGAATGTTCATTAAAGATGGGAAAATGGATAGAGAAAACCTATGAGGGATATATGTAGGAAAGAATGGAAAAGGCAGTGCATAAGGGAGTGTGTCTCCTCACTTTGTTAAAAGGAAGCAAGAGTGGAGAACTTAAAAATTAATTGGGTGTACTTAGAATAGGTTACTGAAAATTGTTTGGGGGTAAAATTATTTAATTTATTTAATTATTTAAATTATTTTAAATTATTTAAATTATTTAAATTATTATTTAAATTGTTTAAAAGAAACAGACCAAATAAAAGAGGAGGTGAAGTTGTTCTCTATATAAGAAATAACTACATCTCTACAAAAATAGAGCACAACAATGATGAAAACTGTCTTGAATGCATTTGGGTCAATATAAAAGGGGGATAGAATCAAGATCACGTGAAGTGTTAATACCACTTTACAATGCCTTGGTAAGGCCACACTTGGAATATTACATCCAGTTTTGGTCACCACAATGTAAAAAAGATGTTGAGTCTCTAGAAAGAGTACATAGAAGAGCAACAAAGATGATTAGGGGACTGGAGGCTAAAACATGACAGTTAGAACAATTAATCAGTAGACCAACCTGCCTCCAGAAGCGGTGAATGCTCCAACACTGGAAGTTTTTAAGAAGAGACTAGACAGCCATTTGTCTGAAATGGTATAGGGTTTCCTGCCTGAGCAGGGGGTTGGACTAGATGACCTCCAAGGTCCCTTCCAACTATTATTATTACTATTATTATTATTATTATTATTATTATTATTATTATTATTATTATTATTATTATTATTATTATTATTATTATGAGATAGGTCAAGAATGAATGAATGAATATTAAATGAATGTGAACTGAATATCAAAGTAAATGAGAGAGATGAGAAAAATACATTTAGATGGTTTGGTCATGCAGACAGAATGAAAACTGAATTGTAGAACAAATATATAAAGGAAGAACAAATGCATTGAAAAAGAAGAGTGAGAAAATTATGGTTGCACAGAACTGAAATCTTTAAAAAGATAGGTGAAAAGATAAGGATAAAATAGCAATATAGAAATAGCTGTGTGAATAGGGAGAAAGCAAAATGATTAACAAGAGTAGAAAGGTATATATGGAGAGATAAAGTGAATCATGTTGGTATAAATTAGATTTAGCTATATTTCCTTTTTTATTTTATATATTAATGTCTTTGTCTTACTATTTCTTACTTATTTTCTGTGCTTTGCATAAAGTTGGTCATCCTGAAAGAGAATAGTGTGATGGGTATGTATGTATGATGCTAAACCTAATCTAACATAACCCTTATTCTGGTTCTTTGTCATGAGAATAACATGGATGAAAAGAAGATAAATTCTATAGTAATGACCAAAAAATGAAAGCAATAACTAGTTGGCTCATAAAGCACTGTTGCTAAGAATAGTGAAAGACAAAGCTTGAAGCAAAATAGGGAATTTATAAATTTAAATTAAATATTGTAAAATGTTAGTAGGGGATTTATATCCTAGTAAAGGATATAAAAAAGATATTGAGACTCTGGAAAAGAGTGCAGAGAAGAGCAACAAGAATGATTAAGGGTTGGAGGCTAAAATATAGAAAAAACAGTTACAGAAATTGTGTATGTCTAGTCTAATGAAAAGAAGAACTGGGGAAGACATAATAGCAGTGTTACAATATTTGAGGGGCTCCTACAAAAAATAAGGGGATCAAACTATTTTCCAAAGCACCAAAAGGCAAGACAAGAAACAATGGATGGAAACTAACCAAGTAGAGAAACAACCGAGGTCCTAGAACTAAAGAGAAATTTCCTAACAGTGGGAGCAATTAACCAATGGAACAGCTTGCCTTCAGAAGTTGTAGGTGCTCCATCATTGAAGGCTTTTAAGAAAAGACTGGACAACCATTTGTCTGAAATGGTATGAGTTGGACTAGAACAGGGGTCCCCAACCCCTGGTCCGTAGACTGCCACCAGGCCGTGGTGTGCCAGAAACCGGGCTGTGCAAATAAGCAACGCCCCATCCGTGGGATGCAGGCAACACATGAAACCATGCCCCCTCCAGTCTGTGAAAAAACTTCTCTCCATGGAACCGATCCCTGGTGCCCAAAAGGTTGGGGGCTGCTGGACTAGAAGACCTCTAAGGACACTTCCAACTCTATTATTCTATGTTCTATTCCCTCTCCCATAGGACATCTGTGCTTCACAATAAATAATAAAGGATAATCAGGCAAAGGATACTTTGTTAGTGCAGCTTCTTGCAAGGACATTTTTGTTATTGTTAATGATTCCTCTCCCAATTATAGAACATTCAAGCAGGGAATCAGCTACAAATCAAAATGCAAGGATGTTGATAATGACACAACTTCTCTTTTAAATCATATTCCAAATGCTTTTCAGTCTTCAAAACATCCAGAGATTTTAAATTGAGAGACAAGGTTATTCTATGTTGTATAACTTGCCATGTTTATTTTTATTTATTTTTGCCATGTTTATTTTTATTTTTCTGACCCTTATAGCTTCTCTGCTTTATTATTTCCTCTGTAGCTCACTAACTGTGATAGCAAGTTAATCTGGGAATGAGAAAGAAAGTTCTGATCTCCTGGCTCATTGCAATGTTAAGATAAATGTCACCTATTTAGATTCCATAGAAGAATGCTAATGAGGGTGGGGTAAAATAAACCATATTATTTCAGACAACGGGTATTTGTCAGTTGTCTGGTATTTCAAACAACACCAGCTCGTTGTCTCTTGTTCTGGCTTTCTATTTTCAAGAATACTTTAAAACAAGAAAGCACTTGCCCCCTACCCCCCCATTCTGAAATCACAGAAAATCAACAAGTGTAGTACTTCATCTGGGGAAATGTGAAAAGCAGTGCTTCTCAAAACTCAAAGCTGTTGAAGCGTCTTCATTTGAAAGAAAAGGCTTTGTCTGAGATCACAAAGTTTAAAACAAACAAAAGCATACAAAGAAACTGAGATATGGGGGGGAGGGAGACGGACACTTACCTCTTTAATTCTGCTGGATGGTAAAGGCACCTGAAAATCCCCCTAAAATAAAATAGAATTCATTAGATCATGTTCTCCCAGTTACTTCTTTCTTCTTTCACTGTGTTCAGATTCCATTTTAGCAACAGGAAAGGTGGAAGCACTTCCTCAATAAAATGAGAAATTGCTTTATATTTTGCACTGTTTATTCCACAGCAAGAAAATCCTACCCAAATGAATCATTCCGTCTCTTGGTATTCATATAGAGATAAATTCTCTTTCTCTCTCTCTCTCTGTCACACACACACACACACACAGAGAGAGAGAGAGAGAGAGAGAGAGAGAGAGAGAGAGAGAGAGAGAGAGAGAGAGAGAGAGAGAAATCAATGTATCACCCTTAACTCTTTACAAAGGGAGCAGGAACCATCTTCTACTCAATCCTACTAAGATCAAATGACCGTGGTTATTTGGGCCATCCAGATCTGGGAATACTTCATGGAGAAGTGTGATCTTTGGATGGGATCATGCTTCTCCATTCAAAGGTTGTATACAACTTGGGGGTTTTCCTGGACTCAAAACTCTTGCTTAACTTGGCAAGGAAGGCCTTTGCCCAGCTTGATCTGCTTGCCAGTTACATCCTTTTCTAGATTGTAAGATGCTCAGACAGTCACACATGCCCTAGTCAATTCATGGCTTGATTATTGCAATGAGCTCTATACAGGCTTCTTGAAGATCACCCAAAAACTTCCACTGGTCCAGGATGCAGTGCCTGGGCAATAGTGGACATGCCTCATTATGCCCATGTAACATCTCTGCTTCTCAAATTGAACTGGTTGCCAGTTGCTTCCAGCTGCAGTTCAAGGTGATGGTTGTTATCTATAAAACCCTATGTGGCATAGGGCCTGCTTATTTGAAGGACTGATTGTCTCCCATAGTATTTGCCTGGCCAATTTGATCTTGCAGAGTTGGTATATTGCAAGTCCCTTCAATTAACAATGTCATATATTGGGACTCCAGAAATAAGTAAGTATGGCTTCTCTACAAATAGGATGATAGTCATTCTGAGGCTGTTTTAATGGCATTTGGACCTGGTGACTTAAAAAAGAATCCTGGATTTTAAAACCTCTATATTGTAAATTGCCTGGTAATTATTTTGTATAAAGATATAATAAAGTGGATAATAAATAGTAAAAGAGTTAAGCTTCCTTCTTTTTGGGAGGAGTTCACTCAGTGAACTGTATTAAAATGTTCTCTGACTACTTGAGTTTTCTTGACTATCTAGGGCAGTGGTGGCGAATCTATGGCACGGGTACCAGAGGCGGCACTCGGAACCCTTTCTGTGGGCACACGTGCCATTGCCCCAGCCTTGCCTCCCCCCGTGACCCCCCTCACCAGCAGCCTTTCTGGAGAAGAGTTGCCCCCGAGCGTGGCCCACGTGGAGCAGTGCAGCCAAGGACACGGCAGCGAGGCAGCGTAGACAAGACTCTGCCTCATGTCCCATCGCGCACAGTTGATGCTGCGGGGCGCAGGCAGAGGGCGTGGCTGCCATGGTGCTGCTGGGCGATCTGCGGCGGGCCCTGGAGATGGTGAGTGGCCCTGTGGACAGGCGGGGTGGGGCGGGGCAGAGGGTGGAGCAGGGGCGGGGCCAGTTTTTGGGCACTTGGTCTCTAAAAGGTTCGCCATCACTGATCTAGGGCAATCACAGGTCATCAATAAACTCCACCAAAACTGTCTCAGTATTAAATCCCAGCCCAAAACCAGACTGAAATGGATCTACAGTAGATTATGTGAACAATGGCTTATGTTGATTGGACTCTGCATCAACTTTCTCTTTAAATCACAGAATCTGAACTGTAGAATAAATTATATGTTAATACTATATGAAAACTAAAACATTCAGGAGTTTGTTAGCAGAAAGGGACACCTTTAAAAAGTAGATGTATTCACACTACGTTTTATTAAGCAAAATTCTGTTTTTTTTAAAAAAAAATTGTATAAATATGGTCCATAAGTAATTTAATTCAGTAGAACTCTGCTCAAATGAATGCATCAAAATATAGCCTGTATTGGCATCAACTATAGCCTGCACTCTCAGAGAGTCTACCACATGTAGTGTCTTTTGGAAATAAAAACAAAAGGTTACATGCAAAAGAACTTCCATATGCTTGCCTATGCTGAATTTCAAAGAAGCCCAGTTTCAAACAGGTTTCATCAAAGTTCAGCACTGAGAAATAATTATGTATTTTCTGCTGTAGATGCAACACTTAACAATCAGGGATATTCTTCATAAATTTCCTACAAACGCACAATTTATATATTTTGCTTCTGAAATGGGACTCCGCTTGCATACATAAATATGTGATCTAATTGCAAAACTATCCACTAGTGCATACCCCCACCCCACCCCCACAGACTGAAAACAACCAACATAATAGTCTTGATCTCAAAACCATAAGACACAGAACATTGGTTCTACATATGATTTTTTTAATATACTGTATATATTAGCAAGCAAAGGCAAGGTGTGAAAGAGCTCATACTTTCCAAAGCAATATAAACAGGCATATATATCTTGGTGCAATTTCTGCAAATGTTGAGATTACTTTTCTCAGAGTTCTGATTGCTTTCTTTAGAATCTATGATAAAAGAGAAAACTCTCTTCTCTGTGAATATATTCCTTTCTTCATTTTCATGGTCATTTTCTTTATGTCTGTAGATATTATGCACAAAAATAATCCAATGTATAAACTACATCAGTATGCAGCTATATGTTTGATCCTTCTGAATGATTCAACACACAGACATACAACATCAACAAAAACAATGCAAACATACCTGTTTTTAGTGCTGGTATCATGCCAAGAAAAATGTTTAAAAATAAATGTGTTCCTGTTAGAGCTCTACCGACAGCAGAAGACTGGCACTTCTCAGTTCACAACATGCTACATTGCCAGAAAGAAATCTGGATAGCTTTTTCTTTTGGCAAAGCTGGCATTCGCCTGGGATTGGGCGGGTGCTGGCAAATTACACAATCCTAACAATTATGGACAAGCAAAAATAGCCTTCAAGAGGCTTGTTCAATTGATACAAAAATGTTTCCGTATCCTGTGACTAAAGTCAGACTGTACATAGAGTTTCCAATTTAATACATTCTAGTGATTCCAAAATGAATATATTTATAAGTAGACTGAAGTCTGGCTGTTGTTCTTGGGTTTAGCCTGACAGAATCCCAGAATTTGCATTCTTCTTCATGGAATACTTTGGGCCAAGTAGATTCCTAACATCATCTAAAGCCATCTTGCTGAAGCTAAGCAAGCCTGAATTTTGCCAGTATCTTGGAGGAACTCTGGCCAGGAATTCCTATGTACAACATCTTGATTTTTTTTCTGCAGAAAGGCAGTACATACTTAGTCCCTTTGAACAGCTACATTGTATGTGTCAGTTGTGCCTTTTCCTAGACCAAGAGGTTTTTCAGATAGTCACTCATACCCTAGTAATATCATAGCTCAACTACTGCAATGGTGGGTACATTATATGTTTATTGTTGGCAAGATTGACTATCTTCTTATTGTTATACGGTTGTGGGCTTTTTGCTTGAATTTCATTTTGTTTTCTTTTGATACTGTGAATCATCCAGATTTGATTGGAGTTGGTGATGTCTAAGTTGAAATAAATAAGTTGAGTATCATCTTCCCTAAACTGCTGTGCCCATTGTGTCTCTACTTCAAGCAGAATGGCAAACAGAAAAGCAAATTGAAACAAACCATAATAAAGGAAAGTTTGGAAGACTGCCACCTTCTCATCCTATTCCTACCCAGGTGCCAAGACTATGTGCTCTGCATTCATAGCTATACAGAACATCTACTTTAGTGAAATGTCTTCTTCTGGCTTTGTTTCTGTTCCCTGAATTTAATAGACTCTTTCCTACTATTGCCACAGAATGTGGGAACATATGAAAACCATAGATCTATTTGCTTTTCTGATGTCAAAACTATATATATATAAAAGCAATAGCCATATATCAAATAAAAAAAACACACAGAATTGAACATACCAAGTAGCTAAAAAACTATACAGCTAGGCCGTTTTCTGTGTTAAGGTTTAAAATGAAATCTTGAAATACTAAGCCTCATCTAATACGGTAAGCACAAAAAGTGATCTTGATCTTTAGGCAATCCATAACAAAATAAGGCAGAACAAATTTTTATCAATCTGCCTAACCACATTCTCAACAAGTTTACAATATTCCTCTTGAATAGAAGTAAGCAGAAAAAGTATTATTTTCAGTTAACTAGAGCACACATGTATATATACACAAAAACACTATAAATTAATTTTTCAAATAAAAATTACAGAAGCAATACAAGTCTTAACGTATTTGCCAATAATGAAAATATTACCTAAAATGAAATAAATGTTCAATATAATAAGGGCTGCAAAATGAGCTGGAGGAAAATTACAAAATTAAATGCTTTAAACATTTCTTTGTCATTCAAATCCTACTGTTGGCAATATGATCTATCAGCAAATTCTATTTACTGTAACATTACAATGTCTTTTTAGCTGGAGTCACAACTTCTGCAAAGTCCTAAAAGGGGTAAATGGTTGCATGATCAGTGTACCCCAAACTTGAAGCACTGAAAACAGGAGAGTGAGGGAGAGAACCAGACCCAGTTCTGGTATTTTTAAAAGGCATCATTCAGCAAAAAAAAAAATCACTTTTAAAATGTTAGTGCTATTAGTTATTTATATCTTTCCAGAAGTAAGACTGTGCATTTATAATGAAAGGAAATTAGATTTCCAAGAATAAATCCACATTGTTTCTGATTAATCAGTGAATTTTTCCGCAAAGGAAGGTCATGTCCCAGATTTTCAAAAATAACCCCTTTGCAATATATACTTTACCCTTTTTCCCCACAGCATCATGCAAATATCAATCATATCATTACCACGTAATAGCAGTGTTTTCAAACTTATATTTGTGTGTAGCATCCAAATAGCAAAAAGGCCTAATATAGCAGTTCATAAATGAAGCTATATATCAGCAAGTAGAGCATCTTTTAAAATAATGTAAACAAAAGAATACAGATTTATGGCCTCAGAAGTTGACAGTGAAAGAGATAGTAAGGAAAGAAGAATGCAAATGCATGTTCATATCTTTCAGTTGCAATCCTTTACATATTTATTCAGGAGCAAACCCAACTGACTTTGGTGAAAATTGGTTCTGAATAGAAACATCTAAGATTGCAGCTGAGATTGTTTTAATTCATGGTATCTAAAGATAGCACAATCCTAGCCAAGCTTACTCTGAAAAATGTTTTACTCTGCTCAATGTGATTTACTCCCCATCTAGAAACATCAAAAGATTATGTTTCCCCAGGGTAATACACTTACTGAGTACAGAGTCTACATTAACATACATTAAATTTAAACTTATTAAATTTAAAACCCACTTACCTAAGAGAACAGATGGCTCCTTGGTAGAAAGTTAAACCTCTTCTGCTATTTTAATTTTTTTTTTCATCATCTATAAAGGGATCACAATTCTTTGCACTTGTTGCAGGGATTATTTTAATTTCTTCCTCCCTAGCCTCTTCAGAAAAAACAGTGTTGAAGCAGTCTATATTATATTCTGAATAAAAGAAAAAGGCTGTGTGCATATCTTACAAATCATCAGTTTGGCAAACATTTGAGTGACACTATTCTTGGCTTTTATGTAACACGAATTAATTGAAACCATCTGATCAACAGAAATAATGTGGGTCACTGCGAGGTGTTTGTTCATGGCCACCACTGACTATTTTCAAGATTTATTTATTGTGTCCTATAATCTGTAGGCAATTCTGCTAAACTTTTACAAATGCAAGAACAACGCCCTCTAAGGAAATGGCATCATTTGGGATCAACATCAAATTCATGAAAGCAGCTTTTAATGTGGTTGGCTGAGATTTTGAAAAGCCTTGGGAAGTCTTCCATTATAAAATAAATCAGAAGTAAATAGCAGCTTAATCAACAGATTTTCTTCCATTTCAGCCATTTTAAATCAAGAAGTCAAATATCACTGCTGGCAATGGCAGAGCTTTTAACAAAGCATATCTCAAGCCCTAGAACTTTCTCATTTGTGACATATTACAGTCATTATAAATATGTATTTTAAAATATGTTAAATATGACACTGATGGAAGAAAGCCAACAACAACATTTCACACAAAATATCATTCAAAGAGAATTGCTCATAGAAAGTTAGGCAGACCTTGTTTTGAAGCCTGATGGATAAATGTGCACAGCTTCTGCAAAATACCACTAGGTCTTCTAAGGCCTCATTTCAAAGGAAACCAGACTCAAACTCAAATAGCACAGAAAACCTGGAAGCTTCTTACAGCTTGATTAGTGAGAGTGGCATGGCACAATTAAGTTCTCTTTAAAAGTAGAAAAAAATGTTACAGTGTATATAAACTTTACCCAAGGATGGCTGTTAAAGTTATAGATAAAGTTAGATGTTATTTTTACTTTGTTATTTTGTACAGTATATTACACCTATTTGCCACAGTTTGCATTCTTAGACATTGAAGCCATTAGGCTAATTAAGGCAATGGCCATTCAATCTTCAGATTCCCTGTCATCCAGTGGTGAAATTCAAATATGTGAACAACCGGTTCTCTGTGTGGATGCCACTTCCGGAAGTCCATTCTGGACCTGGGCAACAAAAAATTAGCTACCAGTTCTGCCGAAGTGGTGCGAACTGGCTGAATCCCACCATTGCTGTCATCCCTTTCTATGTGCTATCTAGATTTCTACCCTGAAGTGTTTTAGTCACACCTTAGTACTAGATTTGAAATATTTATAGATTTTAGAAATTTAATGATTTTATATACTATTTTAATTCAATCTTAACCATTTATATTTAGCCATTTAGCATTAAGTGTAATTTTATATAATAGTATACATCTTACAGATTTATATACTTGTATTCATAATTGATTTTGAAATTATATATCTATCAATTGATTGAGAGAGATGATAATTTTATCTTCATTTGTGCTAATGACATAAACTCTATTTATGCTTATGTCTTAAATTATTGATTTAAGGGATGGCTTTAATTTTACTACTGAATGCAAATTTGACCAAATAAATGACCAAAATAAAGAACTGGTGGACTAATCATTAGTCATTGGTTATTGTTTACAGTGAATTCCCAATTCTATGGAGTTCTGAATATGGTCATACTATATGAGACACAGAGTACCGGTATAGGGAGATCAGCTTCCCAGTAGAACTCTGGAGGACCATTTGATAGGAGCAAATTAGGTGCTCTGGTATTGCTTTGCTCTCATCAAATTATTGTTTCAACTCAAACCCCATTATCCCATCCAATTCTCCAGATGTCATACTCAATTCATTATAAAGCTAGTCCGCCCCACCCAGAGAGATTCAGGCTTCCTTGTATAGACTTTTAGCCCCCAAATTTACCCTCTACAGTTCTTGATCTGAATATTTAGAAACATGACAAGTCTATGTACACATCAAGGTTGTTTCAGGTATAGAAGTAGTCTCTACTTGCCTGCACATCACTTTAGTATCAAAAGATAATTGAATTATTTTTTAGCAGTATGACCATGTAACACTATGATTTGGAGCTCTGCTCAAGCTTCTCTCTCATAGGCACCAGTTTGCTGGCATTTTAACTCTTAGCATTAATCCACAATTAATTAATGACTTAGATTAACCTGAAGGACTTGTTTTTTTGCTTATAATTTTAAACTACCTGGCATGTAGTCTGTACATCTAAAGAAGAAAGGCTAAGCCATTTTCAGCTGAAATCCTGGCCTAAGTGCTCCAATTAACCTTCAGGGCCATGTAAAATGGAAAGTAATTTTAAAAATCTCCAACTAATGCTTTCTTCTGGGTCATAAAACACAATATAATGCCAGGCATGTTTTCACTTGGCTTCTAAAAAAAATGAAATACTAAAGCTGTGAATATTTTTTGGAACATCTGCAAGGTGTGGCTTCTGTAATAAATGATAGCTGGCAGAAAGACAGTCTACTGAGAAATGAAAAGTAAGCCATAGGGTAACATATCCTAGATTTGAGCAAGGGAGAAAAAAACAGTGGTCTAGCCAATGGTGAGAATTATACATCAGCAACATTTGGAGGCCAAATATGTTTTCCTTGCTGTTTGTTTTATTTAGTAGATGTTTGAGTGGCTTATAAATCTTATAAACCAATCAGCCAATCAGATATATACTTTAATTTCTCCAATGCATAATTTGGGATTAAAAACAAATAATCTCACAATCACATTTCATAGAATCATAGGGCTTAAAGAAACTTACAATGTGTTAAAATATGTTATATATAATATATACTGTATGTTACAAAATCTTATTGTGGATGTTTACATTTCTGTAAACGAAGGAGAGATATAAGATTGTAAATTTGGCCAATAACATTACATTGATTCCACTAAGTGAGTTTGCGTTTATCCACACCTGCAAAAATCAAATCAACACAGAATAAACCAAAAATTCAAGCCATCTGGTTGTAGAGATGAATGGAACAGGAATGAAGCTGAAAGAAGTGCTTTCCTTTTTTGGCCTTAACCTGCTTCTATGAAGACAGTTATTGCTCTGGGACTAGTTGCAAATAGATTTGTTTTTGCCTAATTGTGCTCCTTTGATCTGGACAATGGAAGGCTGAGGTGTCTCTGAGATTGTTTGTGTAACATTATTGCTTCTAGTTGTTTTAGCTGGCAATTAAGATCCAGGATGTCATTTTGGTCAAGGATCCATTATATGATAGACTTTAGACAAAATGACTTCTATCTGGTACATGCTGTTCCTTGAAAACAGGTCAGTGAAAAATAACCTATAATACTAAATACTTATCATTCCCAAGTTAGCAAATTATCATCTCCAATTCTCTTTTCCAGGGCATATCTGGCATAATCAGTGTTTTTTTTTAAAAAAATTAAGGATTATTTTGGTAAACATTATAACTTGCTTCAACTGATTTTAAAACATTAGCTGAACCAGACCACCATGCACTCATAACTTAGTAATAACTCAATGGACATAATGAAGTATATATACAGTGTATCACCCACTTGTTGCATCCAACTGGAATAATAATTACATCAGCATATAGAATGTGCCTGTATACATTTTTAAATATTTCATTTTCTGAGAAAAATGGGTTGTGCAGAAGGAACACAGAGAATATGTGAGGGAGAAGCATTTTATATGAAGCTCAATATTGGTTGTAGTTGTGGGACAGAAGCAATGACACTACACTGAAGAGACTAATTAGAAAAAGGCTTTGAGTCATGTCATACTGTCATGTGACTTTCCACTTTTAAAAAGATCTTGTTCAGATTCTCCATTTTCAACTGGCCAGTTCCAATAGTGTATTATTATGATTAGTTGCACAGTCAACCAGATGTTTAGACAGGATTTGGGATTTTTATCTACCTTTCAAGTCCTTTCCAAGCATCTGAGATAGGCAGAAGTTATTTGTTGATGTTAAAAGTGTCACAGGATGTAAGCTGCTCCAAGTAAAGCTGCCTTTTATATGGTAATTAACTGGTGCCACCTTTTCAATGCTGATGGTATTTAAGTATGTTCCAGATGTTAAGCAACTATTACTATTGGTATTACTTCTGCTTTCTTTTGCTGTAGTCCTTCTTCTATTTACAGGTCTTTGTATTTGTTATTTTCTCTAGTTCCTTCTCTTCTCTTCTATTGACTCCAGGTAGTGCAATGTCCATTATCCAGACTTTTGTGTTTTCTTATTCATAGTTATTAAGTCTAGGTGTTATGTGGCAGGTCTGCCTGTCTGTTTGAATTCTAAGCTAAAGTACTTTAGCTTCTTCATTTTCTATTACTTTGTCTATTTTGTGGTCCCACAAGTTCTTTCTTGCAGATTTTCCAATGCATCATTGTTGCTGCTTTGTCACACCATTGTTTGTAGTCAGTCCACGCAATCCTCTTGCTGCAGCTAAGTAGGTCATCCATTATTTCTTCAACTACTTTGCAGATATGATATTTGATGCTGTCTTCTCAGTTCTGGCCTTGTATGCATTTCTTCTTAAGACTTAGTTTTGTGCAGCAAGAATTAGGCCCTCTGTCTTTTTTTGCAATTTTCCTGCTCTTAGCCTTGCCAGGATTTGTTATCTCCTTTTGTGTACTGGTCAAGTAATAATTTGTCCTGCCATTTTCCTTTTCTTATTCTTCTTATTCCTTATTCTTATTATTCCCACATTTTTATATACAATTCAATGTGGCAAGCATACCATTAGGTATGTCCTATCCCAGTGATGGCGAACCTTTTAGAGACCGAGTGCCCAAACTGCAACCCAAAACCCACTTATGTATCGTCGGGTGCCGGGTGGGCGTAGCCCATTTGGTGGGTGTGACCCATTTGGTGGGTGTGGCCCAATAGGTGGGCGTGGCTTCGGTGGTAACGGCAGACTGGGTGGGACTAAAAAGTTCAAACAATTCCAACTTTGCGAGATCTTTTTTTTCCCGCGAGTTGAAATTGATTGATTGATTGAACATTTTTTCAAGGTTCGGCAGC